AAATGGGAGACTGACAAACTATCATCCCAAACTAATAGTTTCATTCCCATTCGCTCATCAGGGAGTTTCACAAAAGTGAACAACTCTGGATGCTTTGCAACCATTTTATTCTTGTAATCATATGGTAAACCCAAGTCCCAACTTAACTGGTCAATAGTTTGGAGAGGAAGTAATCTTTCTTTGGTGAGCATAAGCAACTTTCGCAGCGTATTAAGAATATCCATATAACACTCTTCTAGAACACAATGCTTTTCGTCATCATATATCTTCAAGGCCTCGGAGGTTAATTTATACCACGGTACTGGGGTACCTCTAGAATCTGGGAGATAGAATTCTTGGAAAATATTTGGATAGTAACGGAGGAAAGTTGAGAGTTTAAGATCTTGAGGTAAGCCAAGATGGCCACGATGTTTGGAAAGGCCATAGATTGGGAGAGAATAATCAGGTTGTGAGCCTATAATCGACACAAGGGTAGAAGTGGCTTTGAGTTGTATAGTTCTAGAGACTACAGAGTCCAGTACAGGGTCTTTGACCCACTTGAGCTTTACATTGACAAGGTTGCGCTTGTGAATCAGAATATGCTGGTAACAGCAACTGAAAAAGGACACAACAAATCTCCTTCTGGCTTTAAACAACGGCTGAGGCCACATCTTTATATTTCAAGAGCAAATGCGTGCTGGGAAACTGAAGTATTATAATTAACTTCTGTGGGGCATTTAATCAAACACTTTTGCATCTCCGTCTGTAGGAATGCAGGTGCAGCAGCGGTTAGTTACAGCCTTCGGGCTATGGAATTTGAAGTCTATCACCATATTAACATATAAAGACAAAATCTTGATTTGAATCGTTATCGAAGAGCAAAATGGTAGCAGAATCAGGAAGAACAACTAAATGTGTGTTTTTTTCATTTCTTACAGATCATAATAACCTTGGCAGTTGAATTTCTCCGACCCAGACTGAATAATGTTTCCATAGAGTACTTTAAAGAAATTCCAGCAAGAAAACATATAATTTCAACTTCCACAAAACAACATTTTGAAAATCGAGATCATGTTACCTGTGTTCATACTTCTCCGCTTGCTGTGTTTTCTCCGAACTCGTTCAAAACCTTGCCAACATTTCTTAAATCCAAACATCCTTTGCTTACGACTTTACAAATATCAACGAGGCACCCGATAAAGTTAGCCACATTCCTTAATGTCGTATCACTCTTCGAATTTTAATTATTAGAGGCCACGATCTTTCTGTAATATTATATTATTATATGACAAAATTTACAGCCTGTTTGGAAGTGATTTTTTGGC